AATATATACATTAACTACAACTAATTATCCTAATTAACAAAATAACCGTTACAAATAAATATACAATTGCAAATATTTTGCCATTCATTTTGTTGACACACTTTAATTGAACTTAAGTCGACTTCATAATGAAGTAAGTTGATTAAAACTCGTGGCTTTGCACAAACTTTTTCAAAGTGTGTTGTGAGAATTTTTGAAGAGAAATTTTTTCAAAACTATGTCTTTAACTGTTACAAAGTCGACTATGTGTGCAAGCCATTCGACTAAGTTTGTTATGTTTTGAAATTCTGTTCATGCTTGTCTTAAAGTGTCTAACGACTATATTTTTAAATACGTTTGACCAAGCATTAATTGTGAATCAACTGCATTAATTGCGTAATCAATTAATTGCTATAACTGGTACTAACTATTATAACTGTCATGACTATATTCAACTTCATTAGTGGCAAAGTCGACTAAAGAGCGTCAGCATTGTGAAAAATTATATATTGACGCAAATTTGAATTCTATAAGCAGTTTTGAGAATCTAACGAATTCGATAATTTTCAGATTAGTGTTGTCTTACAGATTTGGGAAAAACTCCAAGAACTCTTAAAGAAGACCGTGGTGTTCATCATTGGAGATAGCTTGAAGAGCAAGGATTGTGTGCTTTTACTATCTGATCAAATATGCACTGAAGGTGTCTGTTTTGGTGATCAGGAATTCAATCTTGTGAATATTGGTGTTGTTGCCCTATTGTGACTACAGGAAGAGGACGTGCTGCGTTCTGGACTTTGAGGGGTTTCTCAAAGGGTTGAAGATGGTAGGAGAGGGGACATCTTGTTGCTGGTCTTTGTGTGTTGTATGCCTATATTTTGATTAGAGCGTTAGAGAGGTGTTTTATAATTTTGACGTGGAGGTCTCTATAAAAGCCTTGTTGTAAAAACCTTGATCATTATAGTGCATTTGCTTCCTGATGAGGAAGAACACTGGATGTAGGCTTGGCCAAACCACTATAAAAAGCAGGGTTTGATTTTTCTATCCCTACACTTTGACTTAATCGACTCTGTACTATGTTTAATCAACTTTATTTTCGCTGCAGTTAAAAATCTTTTTCTGTGTGTTTAAAGAATGTTTTTAAAGTCATCTACTTTGCGAAAAAGATTTAAAGAAAACATTGTTTTTGTATTTCACCAATTCACCCTACTTCTTGGTGTTGAAAATTAAGCCATTCTATTTTAACAAGATGTATCATAACTTGGCTTGATACTAATCAAGCTAGTGATCTCAAGTTGAGGAGGATAAAGATTTAAGTATGATTACAAGCTAGTGGGTTAAGAAATGCTTATGGTTCAGGTAAGTGAGTTAAAGAAGTGAAGATGGAGTGCTCAAATCGGTTTTGTGACTGCAACGGAGAAGAGTTTTACTTTGGTAATGAGATAGTTTATATAGTTGGAAACAATGCTACTCAAGAGTGGAGATTAGTAAAGCAATGTTAAGTTCTCAGAACGGGTGTGGTTAAAGGTGATCAAGAGCATAACAAATGGTAACTAAATTAAAAGTTGTAGTGGTCAAGTTAATGGCATGATGTTTCTTAGAGGAAGCAAGAAGAGGTAAGGGAGTATCAGTCAAGGATTGATTTGAAGTCAAGGCTAGCAGAAGTTTTAGAAAAGATTTACAAGAAGTTCTAGAGGATAGATGAGGTGTTGGTAGTGTGACAAACACAATATGGTTGGTTATGTGGAAGAAACGTTTTTTTAAAAAGTTGAGGTCTTAGATTTGTTTTGAGAATAATGACCAATCTACACTATTGAAAAGTAGAGCATTTTAGCATATAGGCAAGGTTTTTCATGTTAGTAAAGTTTTAGCGAGTAGGATCTTTGTCAAAAAGGTTGTTGTAATAGACAATGTGATGAGAGTAGGTTGTTCCTTCTATCTGATAAGTGAATTTTCAAGGACGAAAATTTTTCTTGTTGGGAAGAATGTAAAACCCTAGAAAATAATATTTTTAGAAGTGGTGGTAGTCTAAAAATAGTGAGACTCAATTATTTTAATATTAAACAGTTTTGTTATAAGTAGTTTTGTTATAAACAAGTTTCATTATTTTAAAACGTGTCATCTCTCTAGAAACCACTTTTCTAAAGTTCTCTACCTTTTCTCTAAGAGTTCTACTTCCTGACTCTCTTTGATGATCGAGAGGTACCTAATCGACCACGACAATGAGGTCTACATTTCTAATCGATCAGTTTCTTCAATAGAGCAACTAAGTTTCGACTCATTTTTCCTCTTCCGTTCCCAAATTTGTTTTAGAGGAATTTAATATTGTTGCATTTGTAATGATGCCTCTCTTACACGTTCTTGATGCATATAGAGTTATGAGGACTCTGTCCGTTTTCAATTTGGTGTTTCGTAGGTTCGTCTAGGTATTCCTTGTGGTTCAAGTAATCGGCAGAACGTTTTTAGCGTTGGACATTTTCTTTGAGAGGTAAGGGAAGCTAGAATTCTGGCTTTAGTATGGTTATATTAATAATTTGGTATTTCTATGAATGGTTGTTGAATTTGAAGAAATTACTATGATTACGTGTTTTATAAGTTTCTTAATTTTCAATTTGGATGGTATGATGTTGAGTGTAACTGAAGTTGTGTGATCTTGATATGTTATATGTGAAGGTGTTTGATGAAGTTGTGTTGTTATTAGAAACTGAATTCAAAATGGTTGTGATGAGAAATGAGTTGTTAGATAAATCTACAGAAGTAGATCTCTTCTTTAAAAAATGTTTGTTTTACTTAGTTGTTCTTTTATCATCTATATAACATTCCATTATGATAGTTTTATACTATAAAATGAGATGTTACAATTCTTACAAAAAGAAATATTTTGAGACTTTCTTTCTTAAAGCAAAAATAGTTTAACCAAAATAAAAAGAATATTTTGCTTCAGTTTACATTTACTCTTAAAATTAAATAATTATTTTAAATAAAAAATATAGGTTTTTTATTATATTATAACCGAAGTATAAGAGGGATTTAGATTCGGTTAAGTTGATAATTGATGTTATATATTTTTTATTTAAAATAATTATTTTGACATTGGGTTTTGTAAAAAGAAAAGGTTTATAACAAAAAGATTAAATAAGTAATTGTTTTACATTTTACTTATCTATTTTTATTTAGTATTTTATATTTTTAGTTAAAATAAAATATTAATCTTTTTATTTTGATTTCTAATTGATATCATAAATTTATTTATTTATTTATTTTAATATATTTTAATCGTAGAACCGGTACTTATTATTAAAAATAATTATTGTTATATGATATTTTTATAAAGGATCATTACATAATACATAATACATAATACATAATATATATGAATATATATAAAACAATCAGTTCCACATAGTTATCTGTATTTTCATTTACACTTAATATTTTCTAATTTAGCACTGTGCAAGCGGACAACTGGTGTCAGATGTCCGAAAGATATTTTCTATTTGCACTCATAAGAATTTTTTAATTTATTAAATATATGTTTTACTTTTATTACATTAATAATATTATTAAAATAATATCAAATTAATTGAGATATATTTTTTTAAGTTTAAAATATTTTTCTCTGTGTAAAAAGAAGAAGAATGTTTTAGTGTTGATCTTATAATTCTTTATGTCAAATTTGAAATAAACATGATGGATTCTCACATAAGAGTTGATTTTAATTTAATCTTTATAAAATATTATTTTTTTAATTTTTATCTCTAAAATTTGAATTTACTACTTTTGGTGTCTAACATTTACTTTAAAAAGATAGATTACTTAAATGTTTTATTCAAGACAAACAAGTTGAGTATCCCATCAGAAATAAAAATAATAAAGCTTTTTACTTTAAAAAAAAATTACTAACCCTGTCGGAATAACTAAGTTAACCTATTAAGAAAATTAAATATTTAACTATTTAACAACTTTAGTGTAATAAAAAATAATATTTTTAATATAAAAATTACTAAAACATTTCAATTTATAAAATAAAAAAGGTATTTTAAAATTAATTGCATATTAATAAATATATTTAATATTTTCAATCGTTAAATTAAAGTTTTACACTAAAAATCTTTTTCTATAAAATTAAAAATTAAAAATATCAATATTTATTATATTAAACCTTCGTAAGATACTTCAATGAAATAATGATGATTTTTAAATTGGAGAAAAGTGGTTTGACACTTCGAAATAATAATATTATATTAAATTAAGTTATTTAATTAAAGGATTTTTTTAATAATTTTTTAATAATAACTTTTGATCAAAATGTTGTAAAAAAATTGTTAAAAAGATAATTTTCTTAATTAAAACATAAATTAAATTATTGAATATAAAATTAATAAAATGATTTATACAGAGGAGTAGAAAAATTATCCGGTGTCAACAACTCACAATCCATTCTAACATTAATAGAAAATAACTAAGTTTTTTAATTAACTAAAAAATTAGTTAATTTTTGTTATAATAAAATTAGTAGGATATATTAACAATTAATTTTATTTACATACCCAGTTTTATAATCATTTATCTAATTATTTACAAAAATATTATTAATTTATTCAAATATTATTATTTAATATTATATTATTATTATTATTATTATTATTATTATTATAAAATAGTTGTGAATTAAATGTTTATAGAATAGAAAGGTATCCAACTATGAATTTTCCTGTTAATATACACTGATTGTATGGTTTTTTTCTTTTTTCTATCACTTTCTGTGTCTAGAAGGACTACCACGTGTGGTCGTCCCATTCTAAATCAATTGGACTGAAAAAGTGTCTCTCTTTGAAAGCAATGTGTTGAATAGCTGACTCAACAATGGTACACGTTACTGCCATATCTGAGTCCAATGTGAAAGCACAAATTGTGCTAACAACTGTTTTCTGCACTATCAGAAGCAACCCTTGAAGAGCCCTTCACCACTATAAATTACCAGCATTCGCCATTGCCTTTGCTCCAAACAAAACCATTTCAATCTAAACCCAATATTACTTCTCATTACAAAATGAGTTCATTTACCCAAAACAACCATCTTTTAGTTCTGCTCCTTGTTTTAACTGTGTGGACATGCCACGTAATGTCTCGCAGGTTGCCTCAGGCAACCTCGTCAGAGAGACATGAGAACTGGATGGCACAGTATGGTAAGGTTTACAAGGATGCTGCTGAGAAGGAAAAACGTTTCCAGATATTCAAGGACAATGTGGAGTTCATTGAATCATTCAATGCTGCTGGGGACAAATCTTTCAACCTTAGCATCAACCAATTTGCAGACCTACATAATGAAGAGTTTAAGGCATTACTAATTAATGGTCAGAAGAATGCAAATATGGTTGAGACAGTAACAGAAACATCGTTTAGGTATGACAATATAACTAAGGTTCCTGCTAGCATGGACTGGAGGACAAGAGGTGCTGTTACTCCAATCAAGGACCAAGGCAGATGTGGTATATATTTATACATTATACAATACAGGACCTTTTTCATTCAACTTATTACTAATAACTCTGTCATTCATTCTACTTTCATGCTCAACCCTTTCAAGCAATTCCTGTGCTGGTGTCAACTTTGTTTTTGTTTGTAAAATCAGGTAGTTGCTGGGCGTTTTCAACTGTGGCTACGATCGAGGGTCTCCACCAAATAACTACAGGTGAATTGGTGTCCCTATCAGAACAAGAACTGGTGGATTGTGTTGAAGGAATGAGTGAAGGATGCAAAGGTGGTTATATGGAGGATGCCTTTGAATTTGTTGCGAAGAAAGGGGGATTAGCAACTGAAGAATATTACCCCTACAGGGAAAACAATAAGACTTGTAAAGTCAAGAAGGAAGGTCATGGTGTTGCTGAGATTAAAGGGTATGAGAAAGTTACTGCTAACAGTGAAAAAGCACTGCTGAAAGCTGTGGCACATCAACCAGTGTCAGTCTATATTGACGGTGGAGATTCTGCTTTCCAATTCTACTCAAGTGGGATATTTACAGGAAAGTGTGGAACTCGTCTAAACCATGCTGTTGCAGTAGTTGGTTATGGGAAAGCTCGTGGTGCTGGTAAGTATTGGATAGTGAAGAATTCATGGAGCAGAAAATGGGGTGAGAAAGGGTACATAAGGATGAAGAGAGATATACGTGCCAAGGAAGGTTTATGTGGAATTGCCATGAATGCTGCTTATCCTATTGCTTGAGTACTTTAAAGTATATGCATGCATTTTGGATCTCTCTGATCTTCATCTTCTTTTCTAGTTATCTATTGTTCCTATTTAGTTGTTTGTTTTTGTTTTCTGTGTTGTCTATGTAATCGTTTAGTTTCTCCAAAATAATGAAATATAAGTTTGATATCTAGTAATATTTTACCTTCTTTTATTGTTGTTTAGTGTACTAATTTGTATAAGTTACTGTTTACTACCAATGAGTGGTTCATGGTCTACATGTCTAATTTTTAATATTGATACTTTGAGACCATATAATAAATAAACAACTATCCCGAAAATTAATTACATTGACACATTTTCTATTTTATTAATTTAATTGTTTGTATATTATTATATAACAATAAAGTTTTCAAATAGATATTTATTTCACAAAATGTCAGATAGATTTTTTCTTAATTTTGTAAATCAGGATCTTATGTTCGAATTATGTATATATCTATAAAAATTTGTCAGAAGAGTTTGTGTCATATGCCATGAAAAATAAAAAATAGCTCTATATATATACCTTAGTTTCTTAATATGAATGGTATGTATATTTAGCTCACAAGATGTGTGAGATATGGTGGAGCAAAACGAGAAATGGTTTAAGGCTTTGTTAGAAGTTCGAAGGATTGTTTTGTAAAAGAGTGAATTATCATTTTGATGTTCGTATTATCGTGAGACACTTGATGATGATATATGTTTGAAAACTTTCTAGTACAAGGAAAAATTGTCCTGCTGATAAAAAAAATGACATTTTTTTCCTATAAATGAGTCTTTTATCAAATACTTGCATTTTCTATTCTCAATATATTATTTGAGGAAAAGGAAGAAATGATGAATCAAATAAAACGTCAGGGGTGAAAGTAAACTATAAAAGGTTTCGTGTTGTGGGAAACAAAACCTTCCGAGATTTATGTTTATTGATGAACACCAAAATAAGACATTTCAGAAAAGCTAATTATTTTGGTCTCTATTTGGTTTAGTCACAACATTATTTTCAAAAAACAAGATTTTGGAACGGTGAGCACAATCAAAGATTGAAGTAGGGGTGAAGGATTTGAGTTGGGTTGGTGATTTAAGAAACAAGTTGCAACAGTGGATATGATGTATCTTAAATATGCAAAATATAGAAGCTTTGAAAGAACCAATAAATGAGGTTGGTGGCAGTAACTAATTAAAAAGACAACTTAAGATCCTCCGCGTTAAGAATCAGTTTGAATAGGATGTCTTTATTCTTTTTCAAAGTTTTCCTTTATCTTCTGGGTGCTATGTCATTTTATCCTGGCCTTGTAGTTGTGTTTAGTATACTTAGAGTCATCTTTTATTGATATACCTTCCGAGAAAAAAAAATCAATTTTAGTAGCCGGTTGAATAAAATTAGAAACCGCTTCAATGATAAGTTTGTATGAACTAAGTGGTTTGGTAAAATTGAAACATATAATTATTAAAATAAATTAAGTTGAAATTTGTTCTTATAAGGTGGAGATGTTTTTATAAGTTCTTAATGTGTAAAGTTTCTATGTCAAGAACTTCTTTCTCTTTCAACCGTGGCATTGAGGTCTTTATTGTGGATATTCAAATAAGTAAAATCATTACAAAAATTCATGATATTATTGATGGATATAAATTCGTCGATAAATTTATATTATCGACAAATTTAAAAAATTTTATTTACTCACAAATTTTTCGATGAATTATTCTACAGATAAAATGTGTCAGAAAAAATTTGTCAGTAAAAAGAACGAAAATATTTCGTCCATTATTTCACTTACCGATAGAAACATTCATCGGTAACATCCATCATTAAAAAAAATATACATTATCGATGGAAATTTCGTTGGTAAATAAAGCAAAAAATTTCTCTCCCTTTTTCCCTTACCAATGGAAAAATTCGTCGGTAATTTCATCGGTAATGTATAATTCCTCTATTTTCGCGAGATAGGGTTATTTATTCTCTGTCTCTTGCATGCTTCTTCATTTGCATGAGAAAACTTTCTTCTTCTTCTTCAAACCAACAAATTTCAGTAATCACCAACAAATTTTTTCATCCTTAAACGCACCACCACAAGAATTGTCGTCGATAACCGATTGCAACGTGTCATCGTCATTTTGCCAGCCCGCGTAACGTTTCGCACTCAAGCGCAACCAAATTTGAACCGGCGTCCGCCATTACCGGTTACTTTGAAGGAGAAGACTCTATGATCTCCATCGCCACTAGGACGCGTCGAACCCAACCTTTCCTCCTTTGCGAACCACCCAAAACCAAGATATAGGGGAAGAAGGAGTGACACCTCCCCTCCTTGCATCAACAGCCACAAAAGATAAGAGAAAGGGAGAAGATTGTTACACTTTGGAAAAAGGAAGAATACATTTTGCGAGCAGGACCCAACTGTTGGGGATGTTGGTTCGAGAAAAAAAAAAGGTTTGGACCTTAGATTGTATTATATTAAAAGGAAGAAGAAGTAGAGCGGGAGAAGAAGATAAACTAGATCGTGATATTTTCCAGACAAATTTTTCCATCAGTAATAACCTGCAGATTTTTCATCGGTAATTACCAACGAAACAAAACGTTTGTCGATAAAATTTACTAACGGTATTTTTATAGGTAGACTATTGATCGTTGATAATTTGTTGATAATTTTAATTTACCGTCTAATTTTATGCATTACCGACGAATTTTGGTCGTCGGTAATATCAATTTTTATTGTAGAATATCACATGTAATTAATGAAATAAATTAATAAACATGTAAATGGCATTCTATTTCTAATATTTTAATAACGTAGATTATTTAGGTTTTAAGTATAATATGTAATTATCACATATTATCCTTATATATTATCTTGTTTTAATATGGTAATTATGTTTAAGGAGTTGTTTTGATATGAACTCATTCAATGTAGATGAATTATTCGTGTTTTATATTGTACATTAGTCCTCTAAAGTTAGGCTGAAAGTTTTTGTTTGAAAAGAAAAATTCCATTTCACTGTAGACAAAAAAAACTATTGGATTTAATGACAACACTAATTCATCAGAAACAATTAAATTTCATAACTAGTGAGTATGTTTTGACAAATTATCGATGACAGAAAATATGTCGGTAATATTTATTGACGAATATCGACTGTCGTTAATTGTCAACATATACTTTTGTCAGTAATTATCGACAATAGATATTCATCGATAACCATAAAAAAAATATTTGTCGGTAATTATCGATGAATTAATTCATTGGTAAATTGGATGACCCAATACAAATATTATCAACAAATATATCCATTAGTAAATGTTGTGACAGATTCAAGTGTAATTGGATATTCTTAATTTACCACACAATCAGATTTGGACATAAGCTTAAGTAAATAGTAGACACAATTAAACCTGGACATAAGCTTAAGCAAACTACACAGACGTTCTGACATCTGAATAATACCCAAACAATCATATTAATAATGTCATTAACGCAAACATCACATGTTTTAAAGTATATGTTTTATAACATAAAGAATATGCTAAAAATCTACATACACTAGTAAAAAATATGGATATTAACTCACAGAATTTGGCATTGGTTTCGTTGCAACCAAAGCATAAAATAGCACGGTGACATTTTTGTAATTATCGCAAACATATATGTCTCAGTTCAAAAAGAACCGAAGCCTAAATGGGTCTATGACTTCGGTTCTATAAACAACTGATGTGAAATCCCACTGTAAATTTAACTTTTCCATTAACTCGTTTTTGAACTAGGTTTATGATTTAAGATGTTTTTAGAGTCGAGGCCATAGAGTCCTTTTGCTTCAGTTATGTCGTGAACTGAGGCATAAAATAACTAAAAATATTTTTTTAGAGGCTTTATGCAGCAATTCTTAATATAATTGAGGACATAGAGCCCTTATTGCTTTGTTTAATAAAATAACCGAGGTAATATCATTTTTTTCTAGGGTTAAATTTCTCAAAGTAACAAAGCCTCTTCCAAATTTTTTCTTCGTTTTCTCTACTCTACTGCGTCACTCTCCTCTCTTCGTTGTCGTTCTCCTCTCTTCATCTTCCATTTTTGCAACGATCCTCAACATTTCTTCCATTTTTCTTTCATTTTACGTTGATTATATACATAGGTGTCATTTTCTTTCATTTTACCGATTGGTTTTATGTACATGTACTCTTTGGACGTTCGTTTTGACCGATTGTTTGTGATGTTTGTTTCATTTCAACACCAAAATCACCTTCAATGTTAGTTTCATTTTAGGTTTTTCATTTTTTCGTTTGGTTCTTTGTTCTTCATACAACATACACATCAAAACATATGTATAGGTAAAATTGAGAGTATGCTTAAACAAACTCCAAATGACCTAAAAATTTGTTGGAAGGACCAAAAAATCATGAAAACCACTCACAAAAAATTTTAGCTCAAAATTCAAAGTCTAAATATGTTAAATATTTTTGCAAAGTTTGAAAAAAAACAAGATAAATTTTCGAGAAATAGAAAACGACGTTTTCTAAAAAATCTAGAAGGATTAGTTGGCTTCAAAGGCTACGACACTTGATATACTATAAACTATCTAGTATACTTGCTACTATATTTGGTTGATGCGTGAAACATTGTCAATAAACCACCCATTTGAAATTATAACTCAAGTCATCTAAAACTGATCAACCTGACATGATAATAAATCATATATGAATTGTAAATATTAAAATTGGATTATGTTGGATCGGTCATGGTTGACTCGAATCCATTCCAAATTGAGAATTCCTCACCCCTATTAGCACATTAGTGATAAAAGGTATTGGAAAGATTTCTTTAATGACATATTAACCATGAAACATGCTTATGAACTGATTTCTAGACCATACTATCAAATAAATATAAAAAATATATTTTATCATTACGAACTAATCAATAAATGCGGTATAAGCTAGAAGAATGACCCCTAGGTCGTCTCTCAAGGACCAAATGTGGTTTAGGAATTAGATCAAACACGTAGTGGGGGGAAATTGGATAGCTTTGAACTAGAAATTAACAAACCAAAACACGAGTTTCACACAATTCAAAGACAGGTTGATCATTAGCTCAGTTACAACACTTCCAATCCTCTA